AATGAATGAATGAGAAAGGGTGAGAAGGATAATGGGGTAATTTTATAATAATATTATTTATATCATATCATTTCATCTTGGGGTCAAGAAAAATGAATTTAAGATGGTAAGGGATGTCTTGAAAAGCCATTCCAAGCCACTTCATGCTTTTTTTAAAATTCTTCCAATCAATGATATAAAGCTTATAGCCACCCCATTTCATTTTATTCTATCTTTAAAAAAACTTCCAAACATCACTTAATCTTTATAAATATTATAGGTATTAAAATTTTAATCTTTATAATTTTATACTTTAAAATATAGGGATCAATTTTTATAATTGTTAAAATTATAAGGACTAAATTATATCAAATTAAAGTTTAGAGATTGAGTTGTACCGATTCAAAATTATAAAAACTGAATTACAATAAATTAAAATTTAAAAAATAAATTATAATTAAATTAAAACTATATGAATAAATAATTAATTTTTTTTAAAATTTTTTTTTAGCTAGTGCAGCTTATGGGATCATTTTAAATAGAAAGACATTAAAAAAAAGAGAGAGATAGAGTTAATGGCCTTTTCTTTTTTCCCCCTTCGCAGCAGAAAAATGACCTTTCTAGCTTCGGGCTACATCCCTCCCTCATTAATTAATGCACTTCACATGGATATTGTACAAATGCATGGAGTACACAGTACAACTTTTTCTTATTCAATATTTTCATAAAAAAAAGTAAAATATATATGATCATCATCATAAATTAATATAAAAATTTAATATTTAATTAAGAGAGACAATTTATGATTTGAGAGCAATTTACTGCCTCTCGTCACCTTATTTAAGTTTTCTTTTTTAATCTCGTTGCAGAGTGGAATGTCAAACTGACATGCTAAAAATGGTCCTATAAGAAGCAAGAAGATCAGGTTGATAGAATTAGACGACCGGTGCCACTAGGGCTCTCTGATTTGGCTTTTTCAATGATTTTGTCACATATAGTATTTCATTTACATTTTTTTTAAAAAAATTGATTAAGGGCATGTACGCCGGACAATTTTTTTTTTTTTTTCAGTGCAATATAGGACAGGGTATCCTAAAACTGCTTCCATCGTTAATGAGATACTCCTTCAATTTTTTATAAATTATTTTTATTAATTTTATCAATATCGATATACTAAAAATATAAGGAATAAAATTACATAAAATTTTAAATATACCCTTATATAATAATTTTAAAAAATAATATCATGTTACTTTTTTTTTATGAAAGATAATTTTAAAAATATTTTTTAAAATATTATTTACAAAGTTACATCGTGACTTATAAATAAAATTAAATAAATTTTTTAAAATATAATTTATAAATGAGACCGGAAAGAGTACAGATTAATCTGAACCAAGGAGAGTAGAACCTTTTTGAGTGACAATCTCTATCACAAAGTTTTAACATTGCTGCATTATTTGGCTTGAACTTGAGATCACCAGCCGAGATAGAATAATTTCATGCCAGTTGATTCAAGTAATGGTGATCAAGTGGGGAATGTTGAGGAAGGGAAAGGGTGGTGAGATATGACAGTAAAATAATTTAAAAAAAAAAGTAAAGAAATGAGAAAATGTATTTTGGGGGTTGGCAAAGGAGGGACCAGGAGCATGAGGTGATGAGGCAGAGCCATCAATGACACCAAAAGTCAAATATCAATTTAACCCTACGAACCTAACACTCTACTCCCCCCTTTCCCTGCAACTTCACTAGCTACGCGCCCCCCCCCCCAAAAAAAAAAAAAAACCTTTTCTATGTTTCCCAAATCAATATAGATTTTTTTTTTACACCGTTTCATCGGAATTAAAAAGAAGTTTTACTGTCCGACAAAAAAACAAGAAAAAAAAAACAAAGAAGAAGAAGAAGAAGTTTTACTGTTAATCTATTAATTTTGTCTCAAAATATTTTAACTCCATCCATATTTAAACCCTTGCTTTAATAAAAAAAGGAAATGCATGAAATTAAAAGAAAAGAGTATTAATAAACATTAAAAGGGGCAATATTAAAAAATCATAATAAATTCGTCTATTAATACCTCATGAAAGGACCAAATTTCTCCCTTAAAAGATGTCATAAATAGGATCAAATATACTTCCTCATTTAAAAATATAAAATATTTTTAATCAAATTTCTATTCTTAATAAAATAGTTTCCTACTTTCAAATTAATTTTATTTTTTTATATTTATATCTATTAAATACCTTATAATGAAAATAAAGTCACTATCCATAGAGGCACTTTTGAAAAAAAAGACAATGATTACACATTAAAAAATTAAAAATGCCTCATTTTTAAACATCAAACTCCTTAAAAAAAGTCTTAAATTTTTTAATGGAGGGAGTATATAACAATTAAAAGATACTCCTTTCATCCCATTTTATAAAATATTTTTTGAGGTAACTTGATCTCATTATTCCAGTCTTTCAATAAATTTTCTTCTCTCTTATTAATGTATGATATTTTTAGAAGTTTATCGAAATATTAATATTGTAAAATGACCTCTTTCAATTAAATTAAATTGTTACATACACCATTTTTTATGTGACGAGAATGGAGAACCTCCACCACTGCTCACATAAACTTTATTTGGCTTGTAAACTATATTTAATTAATTTTATTGACATGTGCAATTTTATAAAATATATACTATAAATTGGGATGGAAGGAATATATAATAAAATTGTAAGTCATTAATTAGAAGTATATCTCATTAGATTTTGCGTCCGTTTTAATTTTTGCATATGATCCATGTCAAGGTCGTCAAGAAGAAAAATCTGAGCTCTGTGGAACTTTTTTTTATTAAATTTAAAAATGATAGTTTAAAAAAAAATATAAAGCACTTTTAAAGTAAAAGAAAAAATTTAAAAACAAATAAATAATCCTAATCTTGTTTCATAGATAAGCAAGACATACTGAGGCTGTATGGGGATACAGGTTTTTTTTTTTGAATACATGGCTACAGTAAATTGTACAAAAAGACTAAAATCTAGTCATATCTAGAGTCAAGAAGCTTCTACAAGCATGCGGAGGGACATCAAAGATTGTAATATTAAAATTATCCTGAGATATTTGATGGGCTAAACAATTAGCACATTTATTTAAATCTCTATAAATACGATCAAATGTGACCATCCAATCCTTCGTTGTGGGATCTTTGATTTTTGTAATGATGTCGAAGAAAGGATGACTTCCAAAGTAGTTGTAGTTGATGAGAGAAAGCGCTTCCATCAAATCTGAATGAATATTAACTTTGTATAACTTTTCATTCTAACAGAGGATAAGCCCTTCATAGATTTCCATGAGCTTAGTAACTATGTTAGGTTGAAAGCCAAGATACTTGGAAAAACCCTTTGATCCAATTTCCTTTGTCGTTCCTTGTAATGCCTCCACAAGCAGCTACTCCACTAATGTTAACAGTATCATCCGTGTCTAGTCTAACCTAACCAGGTTCAGGTGGTTTCCAATTAGTATCATAACTAGTGCTTCTTTTATTTAAGTGATTGATTTTGGATAAAAGCTTCATGCCATTACAGATTTGTTGATTGCTAAAAAAGGCGATATCATTATCTTGAATCTCATCTTTGAAGTAGAGCTTCTTGCATCTTTCTTTTCAAATATTCCAATAGGCTTGGGCGAATAAACTCTGCCAATGTATTCTTCTTGTGTTCAATCTCCCTACTTCATTCTCTGCATTCCATCTAATCCAATCCTACAATCCAACAGAGAAAAAGGTGTAAAGTTTTGTAGGGTTTATCAATTTTTTTAAACCTATTTAGCTTCTTTATAATCTCTTAAGATATGAATAGTAAAGTCAGAAGAGTTACAATCGAAAGAGCAACAACATTGTTGTGGAGAGGGGACACGTGTATTTTGATTACTATTGAGAACGAGAATTCAAACCTAGCTGATTTATATGAAATATAACATCTCCATCTTAATGCCAAGTTTGACACTGACGAAAATACTAGACTTTGCTTCTTGTTTTGATCAGCCATTGAAATTTTTAAATTAAACTAATTTCAAGCATAAGGGGTTTAATTTATGGAGATTTTTTGAATTTGGATTTAGAATTATATTTAGTACAAGCATTAAATTTATATTAATAATTCTAAACTCATATTTATTTTGATATTAATGAATGAGTGGATTTATGTAAATCAATGAGCCTAGTCCTTTTCATATTAAACAATTTTAATATCGTTTATTCTTGAGGACATTTTCCACTGTTGCAAATTATTATATTATGTATGAAAAACATAAACTACCACAGTATAATTACTGTTTACCATTAATTTACATATATTCTATATTTTTATTCTCCAACCCCCGGTAATTAGACGGAAATTGCTCTTTTAATACTATTAAATTTTTCACAACAGTTTTGCACTTAATAAATTCCCGTCTTACATTAACAGTAACATCGTATCATCTAGTGATCTTCCTGGCATTAATTTCATACACGTATATGATTGAGGTGTACATATATGACAATTTGAAAACACGTGCTTTATGCATACTGAGAGAAGGATTCAAGAGTGGATATACAACTATAAATGTTAAGTGTATGAAGAAACAGAAGATATTAGCAAGTTATAAGAAAGCATGAGAGAGTTGGGGAATTAAATTGAGAAGTGTAAAAATTGAAGACAGCAGAAATAATAAGTAAGTTTATTATTAGGTTCAGGAACAACTGGCGTTTTGCTCGCAAAGCAGAAGCATATATTGTACAGATTATACCAAATATGATGAAAACGACAAGTTGCTCACATGACCCCGTTGCCCACATTATTCATGGGCCCCCCACGTAGTAGTGTTGAAGTAGTAATCCTCTCCCTCTCTCTCTCAATCTCTTTCTCTATATCTCTCTCACATGACAAGAATATAAACACAGAGGTTGGAAGAAAACTTTTTCTTCTTTCCTAGTTGTAAAGAAGCTTCCTGTGAGGTAACTAGTTGTTCCTCTTCCCTTACCTATCTCTTCACACACACAAAAACTCTCTCTCTCTCTCTCTCTCTCTCTAATTTCTTCTCTTATATCTGTGCTGTGTAGGTCAACAAAACAACAACTTGACCCCCTCCATGGCTGGTCTTTCTTTAGGGTTTGAAGCCCCTCCTGGTCAAATAAGAAGGCACCGACTCTTAATTGTCTTGTACTGCTGATTTGCGAGCCCATTTTTCGTTTTTGTTTCTCTAACCTTGGGACTTAGCTTTTCACTCAACTATCAGCTATATCTGATTGGTAAGCCTTTTTGACATTAATCTCTCACACTCTTATACTTTCCAAAAAATTTCCCTTTTTTTCTCTTTAATTTCTTCGGTTTCTGCTTTCCTTTTATTATTATTGTTGTTGTTATTATTTCTTATTTTGAGATCCAGAGGTTAGAAATCAAGGTGGGTCACTCAAAATTTCATGGAATTGACGCGAGAAGCTGCAAAAGGGTATTCTGATCATAGCAGAGAACAAGAATTACTGGAGGAGGAAGAGGATTTAGCTGAAACGAGTAACAAAGAAAGCAGTAAGCAATACTATCCCTTTTCTTCTTCATCGCCACCAAATCCATGGTTGGGAATGCTTCATCATCATCACGATCATCATCATCATCATCGATCTCCGGAGGCCACAACCCCTTGTGAATCTCACAATTCATCGTCTGGGTTAGGGTTATACCATCAGGATGCACCTTCTAACTCCAATTCCGCTATTAACAATCCCAAGAAGCTAGACTTGATGGACCTGTCGCTCGGCAACAAGGAAGAAGATGAAGGCAACAAGCCTATCGAGAAAGAGCACATGTTCGATAAGGTTGTGACGCCCAGCGATGTGGGCAAACTGAACCGCCTCGTGATACCGAAACAGCACGCGGAGAGGTACTTCCCGCTTGACTCCTCCTCCAACGAGAAAGGCCTTCTCTTGAATTTTGAGGACCGCAACGGCAAGCTATGGCGGTTCCGGTACTCCTACTGGAACAGCAGCCAGAGCTACGTCATGACCAAAGGGTGGAGCCGTTTTGTTAAAGACAAGAAGCTCGACGCCGGCGACATTGTATCGTTCCAACGCGGCCTCGGCGAATTGTATAGACACAGGTTGTACATAGACTGGAGGCGCCGGCCGGATTACGCGGCCACCGATCGTCATCGCCATGCCGCCACAATTACACCGTTGCTCCTTCCAAATCAGTACTCCGTCAGATGGGATGGTAGATTGTACTCTCTTCCCGCGGTGGCGCCGGCGCCGGCACCGCGTCACCACGAGCATTTCCAGCAAGCGAACTACAACAATTACTCCTTTCAGCAACACCAGCTACCTCAGTACCAGCGACAACATCACCATCACCATCACCACCAGCTCTATGGCGGAAGTCAAGGAAGTTATAATGAGGTGAATTTGGGATCTGGGTCGCTTTACTACCTCAGACCATTGTCGGCGCCGGGAGATCGGACTTTGATGGAGCAGCGAGAGGGAGGAGGCAATGTAAGTCCGATGATCATTGATTCCGTTCCGGTAGTCCATGGTAATTCTAGTGGTGGTAGAATTACTGATACTACTGCAAAGAAGCTTAGGCTATTTGGGGTGAATATGGAATGTTCTTCGTCATCAAACACAGTAGGACATGTGCCGATGGATGATACATCGCTTGCCTCACAGAATCTTCAGTACTTGACAGAATTCCAAGAAGAAGAAGATCCAATTTCTTCATCATCATCGTCAGCATCAAGGTTTGCGGATCAAAAGGGGAAAACTTCGGTGCTGTTTGATTTGAGCCCGTCCTTCCAATGCCGACAGTAGTGAATCAGTGATCAAATTGAAACACTCGCTTTTGCAGCATTATGTTATATTTCCATCAACCTCTTCTTTTCATAAAATAATTAGTGTTTAATTAATTAGCTTTTGGATTTTAGTACATTTTGAACTGCTCAATGCGCATTAATCATATATTATAACTAGCTGGGGTTTATTTGGGTCCTGATGAACTGGACCGTCGTTTCGCAACCAAGAAAGGCTAACGAAATCCATGGGGGATCAACTACGTCTCAGACCTTTCAATTGTGTATAAATATAGTAGTAATACAATATATATATCGAATGATTATATGTCCTCTAGTATCTTCCTTATTTTTCGGTTTGTTTTCCTTGGTGTCTTCTAATTGCTGGATAGTGTATCCCCCCCCCCCCCCCGGTTCACTGCATTTAATGGGTAGACACAGAAAAGCTTGCTGCTTTTGTTCTCTAAGGTTTCTGTTAGCCGTGTTGGGATGATGCTGTTCACAAACTGCTGATTCTGCTGCTGCGCTTCTGCTTCTGCTTAGTGAGGCATTTTAGCTTTGCAGGTTCTACAGCTAGCTGTTAAAAGGTGACTTCTATTATTTTTATTATTATTATTTAATTCTTATCTGTTCTTATTACTGCAGCTCTATCCATTTTGATTGATTACTTTTCTTGTTGCTAAATTTAGCTACCACATGTATCATTTATCCACGAGTATATAGCTGACCTTTTCGCTTCTGGTTTTTTGGCCTTACATTTTTGTTCTCTCTTATTTACCAGCCGCCTCTTTATTGGATTACCACTGTACAAAAGCTTGCAGTCTGAAAGCCAAAAAGTGGTCTCTTCCCTTTATTTCAATACTGAAAAAGAGTAAGGCAACTTATTTTTCTGATGAGACTGCACACACACACACACACACACACACACACATCATGATAGCATAAATGCTATTGCTTTGTCTCGTTTTTCTCATGCCATTTTTATATCTTTGGCTGCAAACTTTAACTTGTCAAGTAATGTTTGTGTTATTATAACCATAGAACGGCACACTTTACTTTTCTTAATTATTTGTTCATGACATGCATAATTAGTCTTCGTCACAGTGTTCTTACTGTTGAAAGTTGAAATTATTTGACGAGTAATGTCAGGCGATATAATTGGACATTAAATGATGGAGATATGAATAAGAAAGTGAATACTTTTTTTGCCCCCAAAATCTATCACTTTGATAATTTATTTAAGATGTACTGTTATCTGTACGGAAGTCTGGTGAACTAGCCATTGTACTAGGAAGTCTTGTGTTCTTGTATGGATTGTCAAATTGTAAACAGATAAACACACACACACACGGGGACTTTTGCATTCCTTGACCTGTTTATAATGTTCTCAATGTTAATTTAAGGAAACAGATACTTGAAATTATGATTAAGCTAAACTAGTGTCCCTATTATGGTCTGAAAACTAGATTTACATGTGATAGAGGTTGACTGTTAATAGAAAGGAAATGATAGTAAATAAGGGAAGCAAAAGCAATGTTGAAGGCCGAAAGTATTACGGTAAATGAGACAAGACAGATGCATTGCTTTGGACCTTTAATCTCTTTCCCACAACACAGTTAAATGTGATTACTTTTTGTTAAAATAGCGTCTCAGATTCTTGGATTTTGCATCGTCAATTTTCCAAAAGCTCATCGCTCAGGAAACGTTTTGGAAAGATACATGCATTCTGACCTGTGAAAGTGCTGCTGGAAAATATGGGATGAAAGGGACAATAAAATGCTTTTTAACCTAACAAGATCTGAAATCAATCAATCAACGATGACGTAAAATAAAGAAATTTCTTTTATTAATTATTGCATATTTTCTCTGAAGGAAAACTTATTTTCTTCGCTTAAGGAGGTGTATAGCAATCCCTTTGAACATAGATAAGGGAAAAAGTCAATGAGAATAGAAGTTATATGGTCAAAGACGGAAAGATAAAAGATGCTTTAAGCCATAAGGTAAAAATGTGATTCAAGGTGGATTGATAATCGATCATGTTTCAGTCGACAAAACATGTATAATCTAATCTCACACATGGCTCTTTCTATAATTACATTTAAAAGAATGACTGCACACACACACATACACGTCTCATGTATTTCATTATATTCTTTGTATTATATATGTTTGATTGTTGTGTGAATTGTAGTTCATATAGTTCAGAATGTTATATCAGATTTGCTAGTTTTATGCGTTCTATATACGCAGAAGAGCAGAAAGAAAAGCTCCACTCATCAGTAGGGTGAACGTGTGTGTGAGTGTGTGTACTCTTGCCAATTGTTAATTGAAAATGATCAATTAATTGTTTGGCCTAAGCCATGGTGATGGTAGTAATAATTAGCTGAAATAGCTGAAATACTATGATCTTTTAATTTTAATGTAGGAATTTTTCCATGTGGGTTATTTTTGGCCTGAAAATCTATGTAATTAGCTATGATATCTTATAATAGTTTCTGTGAAGTGATTTTAATACCATCAATAATATAATAAATCTAGCTCATCAAAAACGGTTAATCCGCCAATCAGTTTAGCGCTTCACAACGAATCATATTCCATATTTTAAAATTCATTCTTCAAACAAGACTGTGATTATTTAATTTGATGATATGGATGATTCTATACAGGTCAAAGTATTGATGATATATATACACAAATCACTTGATATGCTGCAGAAAACAGCGTTCAAAGGATCTCACTGATGCAAAACAGGTGAGAACTTCAGCTTTGCAAATAAATTTTTGTTAGTTGGTTTACGCATGCATGTCTCTCACTTTCAATGGAAGTCGAATCTTAAGCAATATTAAAAAATAATTTATGGCATTCAAAAATTTTAATAATTTGCAGGCTGCTTTTAAAGTAAAATGAGATATGCTAAAAGTTCCAATAAATAAGATCAATGTCAATGACATATGTCGCAGTTTAATAAAAGTTCAATTCTTACCATATTTTCTGAGTTCCTCAGGGACGAAAGTTATTAGAATTAACAAATTAACTTATGATTAAGATTAGTACTTAGCAACCAACTCCAATTTAGCTTAGTGGTATTAATTTGGATATTGGTCGTTATTGAGATTTTTTTATAGAATATTTTTGGATGAATGATTTTTATAGTATTTGATAATTTTTTTTGAGGCTCTCATAAAATTCAAATGAGTAGAATTAATTTACGTATTTATTTAGGTATAAATATAAATTTTCATAATATTTAAAGAATTATAATCTCATAAGTAGGAAGACAGTTTACATAATTTAATTTAATCCCACTTAAACACATTAATTATTTTTTTCTAAAAATCGTGGCTTTGTACTAGGTTCTAAAATTTAATTTTCCAACCTTAAAAAGTTAAGCTAGCTATAATTATTTTCAAAATCTACTTGCCTCTGAATTGCATGTGTTGAAATTTCATGCGTCAAACTCAAATTGAAAAACAATAAAGCTAATGGCCTTATAATTTAGTGGCATATAAGTCCTTCAATGGGAGGTCATGAGTTCATGATGATCCCGCTTATAACATCAGATCAATAGTGTCTGCCTTTCAATTAATTGAAAAAACAATAAAATAAATCAATGCTTTGTGTGGCTGTTGGAGTACATGATGAACTGGTTTTGATTTTACGAAGAAAAATATTATTCCTAGATTACAAACCAATGACTGGTGATAATTTATATAGTGCAAATATTACTAATTACTAATGCAATACAAAATAAAGGACTTTCTTTTCCTATGGCTACGTGAAACATTGCCCAAATGCCCAATTCATATAAGTAGCGAAGAAACATATATAACGTTGTAGTCCTAGTATTTAGATTGTTGATGTCAAATTGTTGCTTGTGTATGTTCTCTTTCCTTTTTTTAAAGATCTATATATATGATAACTAGCTAATTAGTATACAATATATAAAATCAAAACCATTTATTACTTTTATTTAATATTATGTAATATGTTTTAAATACATTCATGACAAATATAAATATATATATATATATATATATAAAATCAAGTTACGTGTTCCTTTAAAAAAGGTTTCCATGCATTGCATGGGACCATTTTTGGCGGAGAATACTATGACTACGACAATTCGTATTATCATAGATATGAAAATTTAATAAATTGTAAAAAAAAAATATTAGAGAGTGATTTAACTCAGCTAGAAAACTACTTTGACTTAATCGTTCGGATATTAAAAGTACGGTGAAAATTTGAAAAGAATTCTGTTCATCGGCACGCACACTTAATTTTAAGGGGCAAAAAAAGCAAGCTATTCAACATTTTTTATGTCTCTCGTCTATAACCAAATAAACTATTTGACTTCTAAACTTAATTAGTTATCTGAATTCAGTTTATATCTCTAACCTCTCAAGAGCCGTGTGAAATTTTTTTTTCGTTTCATATTTTCGGTGCAAGTTATAATAATCTTTTTATCTTCTGTAAAATAGGATTTTGTAAAAAGAAAATAAAGAAGTGGAAGAAATTTTTATTTCATCTTTTGTCAACATATTGAGCAGCAACAATACATTTTATTTGGCATCTCGAAGAATAATGTCTTGATTTTTAGTTTCAAGATTTTTATTCGTTCTTCCGGTTATTGAATACATTTTCTTTGCGAAACACATATTATATTTTTAGTACATTATATTATCAGAGAGTTTAATTACATGCTGAATTTCTACACTGACCACGTTTTTATTATTTGAGTTAGCCTCCATTCAAGTAGTTGCATATATATTGACTTTTTCTAACCTGTATCTTTATAAAAAGAGTGATGATACATCAATTATGGAAAACCATGTGATCCAGTTATAAAACGATTTTGATGGCTTAATTAGGCTTAAATTATATTTTGCTTTCAATGATTTAAACTTATCGTATCATTCAGTATGTCTAATATTCGATTTTACTTGTTCAATGCAATTTTATGGTTAATTATGGGAATTTTTAGGTGTGTGAAATAAGTCATAGAAATTGACTTGCTCATTCCCCTGATTACAAATGATATTGTTTATATAATCTCTTTAAGAAAAATTAGTGTCAGAGCTGGAACGGATATATATATATATATATATATCACACGACACTTCTATCTATTATCTGTTACGTAGTAATAAAATAGGTATATTTACTGGCAGCCCTTTTTTGCTTTCTTTTTATTTTTAATATAATTCTACTTTTGTTAGAATACCTATTATATATATATATATATATATATGTATATGTACATATAGTAATACTCAATTTTTATTTACTATACGAATATAAATATATTCATTTACCTTGTGACTCAAAATTGATCCACAATTAAGCTTAAAGAATTCTAAAGTTGATCCTACGATTTGATGTTTACAAGTGTATTGTAAGATTTTGCTTGGTTATATATGATTTGTTATTTAATCATCGTACATCTTATGAAAAAAAAACTGTTAATTTTTTTTTTAGTCAACTAGTGTAGATGCCGTGAAGTATATGAAGTGTGGGAAAATGAAACAACGTTATTCGTAGCTCATAAATTAATATTGCACTTTAATTTGCTTGAATCTTTATATTATAGATTAAAGATTTTATCAACAGTACATGTACAAGTTTTGAACCAAACAAAATACATGTTTTCCTGATTAGCAAATTAATCTCATAGCAGAGAGAATTATTTTGAAGTCACGTAAAGCTAGTTATCACTATAATTTATTTTGAATGATATGTATATAAATAATACTTAATTACAACCACTGTGACCGCATTGAAATTTGTAAAATACGATTCCCCACCCACCCACCCCCCAAACTCTCTGGTCTTCCACGGATATGTAATTGCAACGCGAATTTACTGCTCATGCATAGCGTGTTGCAGAGAAAATTATAGATAATAATTGCCAGCCGGCCATGCAAGAGGTTTTTTTTTTTTTTTTTTGGGTACAAATGCACGAGGTTTGCTTCTAGCTGATATCCACTTGATTAATTAAAAAATAATCGTAATTAAATTCTGATGATCTACTAAACTTCACCAACAACCTTCTTCTGATAATTTATAAATTCGTCACTTCACTAATCAGTGTATATATATATATATACAGAGAGAGACATATATATATATATATATAGATGCACAACACAAGTACATATTTAGCTCAATATATAATTGTAATACGGACAAATTAAAAGATCAGAAATCAACAGGAGTTTTCAAAAAACTAAGTGCTACAGTATTCTTATTGAAATCAAAGTTATTAGAACATTTAGAACATATGATATACATAGATACTGATTAATGAAGTGATGAAAGTATATATGCTATTTTATAGTGCAATTTAAAACTTGTGGAATGGAAAGTATCAACATATACAAATATATATGTATGTATATGGTGGTGACAGTAGTCATGGATAATAATCACATATTAAAAAATCATACAGTAGAAAGAGCTAAAAGAAGAAGCAGAAATGCAGAGAGAGAGAGAGAGAGAGAGAGAGAGAGGTTGGCCCACCCTATTAGGTAGGAGGTTATTAGGGCTAATTAAGAGGAGGAAGGAGAGGAGGTTGCATAATGGACGACGATCATAAAGCAGAGTGTACCATAAAGTCTTGCTATGGCCGGCGTGGCCTTCCCCATTTATTCATTTTCTGCAAATTGTTTTGGCTTCTGATCTGGACGCATGCACTGTCCTCCCAGTGATCTATCCAAATCATTGTATTTGTACTACCTTCCATCTCTGGACCACCTTCCCTCATTTCACTCTCCTTCCTCTTTTCCTTCCCTTCCCTTTCCTTTCTATTTCTCTCATCATCTCTCTTCCATCTCTTCACTTTAATCTCTCGCCTTTTCTCTTTAATAACCATTTCATCTCTGCTCCTGAAAGCAACCGAGTTTAGCCCCATCCTTGTTTCTAATTACGAGCTAGCTAGCCTTTTTGGTATGGGATGGGAAGAAGAAATCATGCGTATGTAATTTAACATGAACGACTTAAGTTTTGCGGATATGAACTTTGGGTTTAAACTTTCACGAGTTACAGACAGGTTTTCTGCTGTTGCTTGAGCTGCAGAATGCATGACAAGTTCAAAGCCTCGAATTGAAAGAGCTGATGGGCATACATTTGAACCCAAATGTGCGCGCCTGTGTCTCCGTGAGAGAGATATTAATACATAGCTAGGTTTTTGACGTATCTAAAAGGGTTCGGGGATTTAGCTAGCTGGCTAAGGACAATAGAATCTCAGAACAGATAATTAATTATGCAGGTAGCCAATGGGCATATGTTTGAAACTTTATGATCAAATGAAATAACTACGTGCGTGATAAAAGAGTACCCTACCTATACCTATATATATATATAGCTAGCGGGGCCTATATAGGGATTTAACTTAAGAAAAAAAAATTAAACCCTAATTTCTGACAGAAGAGAAAACTTTACTGATGTTTTGTTGTTTTATGGTTTTGTTTGTTTACCACTAAGATACTGAGAAACACAGTCAGAAAGAAAAGCAAGAGCGGGAAGGTTGGGGTTGGGGTTGGGGTTGGGGGGGGGGGGGAAGGGGGGGATGGGGAATGGAGGAGTCCCCAGGACGCAACAGAAATGATCCCCAAAAGTGACTGAACCCTTTTTCAGTGGTTTTGCTATTTACAAAATGATGATAATGATGGATAAACTCAATATAAGGGATCAGATCAGAATGAGTGTGTTCGTTCGCATTTAATACCAATATGGACCATGCACTCTCAAAACAACAGAGGGGAGAAGGACCATCAGCACGTACGAGAGATGGATGCAAGAAAAACAAAACAAGCCTTAATCATCAACCACTCACTTAATCATTACCACAAAACACACGAGTCTGTTCTCATCTATATAATAGAGTCGTAAACATTTTGCATTTTGATTCTCTTTTGGGTTTATAGTCAACAACACGCAGGCATTTTCAACATCCCGTGCATGTGCTCCGAACCCAAAACCCTACAATATTGTTATCATAGCCTTCTCAAACACGTACCAGCATGTAAATTAGACGAGTCTTTTTGAGTGAAAAATCTGATGCATAGTTAGGAAAAGAAAGTTGATAGAATAAGTGGCTAGGGGAGAGATACGGTTTCGATTTGTCCTTTTTTGTTTGATAGAGGGCTTTAAATTTGAAAGAAAAGAGAATGTGGAGTTATGTACGAAGCATATGTGAAATAGCTACCATGTTATTTTGAAGCTGTAGGGTCATTTGATGGATTAGATATGTAAGAGTTAGGTGTTCAATATTATGCATCACAATGTTCTTGGCCGTGAATGGCAGATGAGTCACAACCACTATCTCTGCTTTCATATCATCACATAATAACTATTTTTCCATGTGCTTTGGTTTCAACTTCTCTATAAATGTACCCAGTCTTGGAACCACATGTATTTATACCCACCTCCTAAAATAAGTTAAGGCATGCAAATAATATTCTCTGGTCAAAAAAAATTTAATTATATTATTGTATGCTACTTTTTACTAATTAGTAATGTTTGAAAATGCATTTGTCTGTTTTTGACCAAAACAATGTAAGTACTGTGCGCTCTTGAAACTTACTAAAGCATATTCTCCAGACAAAAAATAAAATAAAAAATCAATTTAGAATCAGTTTACTCTTTTCTTCTTCTTTTTTAACATTGATTGCGATATTTTATTTTTGAAATTCATTCTCTGGCATTGACATTAGGTTAATCATAAGACTACATCAAAAATTAATCAATTATCATTATATAATTTTTTTTATAAGTCGGTGACTTATAAACAGTGATCAAATTTGACGGGCGCGCATGAAATATTTATTTTATCGGCCGATGGGTCCCATGCTTGCAGTATTGGCTTGGTGAGTCTCGTGCCTTTAGTGTTTTTTTCTTTTTTTTTTAATGAATTTTTTGACGCGATAATCTACATGTCAAGTTTTGCTTCTTCTTTTTTCTTGGGCCTAGCGAGGCTGAATCAGAAAATCAACACATAGAGGCTTTTCTTTTAGCCCAATAACCGATTCATGTCCCGTCAGTGTTTCTTTCTCGGTCAGTCACTCAGTCCCCTTGGAAAGAGGAATGGCGCTAGCAGGGACGAAAATGGAGAAATCGTCTCTCTAAGATGAGTCTACGAGCCACCAAGTCAGCGAGCAGAGTTATGCTCTAATGGAGTACAGATGCGTGCAGTGTGGATTTGGGATCAAAACACTGTACGTGCAGTATTCTCCGGGCAACATTCGGCTGATGAAATGCGTAAGCTGTCTTTATTGTTTCTTTCTGTCCTGCTATCACTTTCGAATTCCTCAATTCATGAATTGAGTTCAGAACTATGCAGGAGAATTGCAAAGCCGTGGCAGACGAGTACATAGAGTGTGAAATGATGGTACCTGACAGTTTTGGAAATTTCCTTGTTCTTCTTTAATTCAGAATGTTTTTATTTTCATTCCGAACTCTCTTGCTTCTCTCTTTTCTTTTGTAGATTCTGCTAATAGATTTAATGCTTCACAAGTGCAAGGCCTATAGACATCTTCTCTTCAACGTCCTCAATCAAGAAGCCTATAGATTTAAGGTGTGCATGAGCTTATTCATCACCCTGCATGTGTTTGATGCTGCATACTTTTAACGAACACACAAATTGCTTGTGCATATATGATTCTGACAAATGGCAATTTTGCTGTTTTTGGCGATTTGCTGTTAACCATTGGTTGGTAATCAGTAACATGCAATGACTTCTGTTGTTACGTGAAATTCATTTTGATGATTATTATTGTAAGCTAAATATATTTTCTTGTGAATCTATTTGAAAATAATGACCTTGAAGTATTTTCCTCAGTAGGAGTTGAATTGCTTTACTTTTACAGGTCCTTCAGATTGTAATTAAACTATTTCATCCAATAATTTGGACTTCTAATCAAATGAACTGATATAAATGCAACCGATGCATGTATTACTGTGCTGTGGAAATGCATGAAGATTTTTTTCTGGGATAACATCCCCCCCAAATTTAATTGGGAATGCATTTTTAAATTGGTATTTCTAGATTATTTATTGGTTGTAAAATCTATATTGATGTAAGGCATGTGTAGTGCTTAATTTAGAAAGATGGCATCTAGAATCTACTGTCGATGACTTTCCCAATGTCTTGTTTTTCTCATATTGGTTTATCAAGCACCATTTTCACTTTAGCAAGTGTCTTATATTTTTTGGTTCCTGTGCAGGTGTTATTCTGGAAATTGGCAGCCAGTTTTCTTCTTTTGGATGCTTGTATCCTTGTTTTGTGTAGGAATTATTCTTATTTCATTCCTAAGGATGTTAGGATTGAAATGTTAATTTCAGACATTGTAGAAGGTAACCTTACAAAGAGTTATTCTAGATAAGAGTTTGGTTTTAGAAAGGAGCAAGGATGAATTTGTTTCATCAACGAGTGTCTCTTCACTAGTGTCAATATGTTGGAAGGTTTATATATGATCAGATTAACTTTTACTTCAGAGTTCAGAAATTGCTTGGTTTGGAATTTTATGCTAGTTCTGATGAGAGATTATTATTTCACGGATTTGTTAGCAGATGCTGATAGATGTCTTCTTTGGGAACTTAATGTTTCTTTTGACTTTCATTTTTGCAATGAGGATATTTATCGGTGAATCAATCAGATTCTCAAGGTATATGCATTCTTCCATTTATCAGTGAAAAGTAACAATTAGTCTGCCATGTTGTTATCATGATGAAAAATTCTGTGACAAGGTTATCCATTGTGGTTGGTTGTTAAAAAAAAAAAAAAAAGTTATCCATTGTGGAGCTTATGTGTTCATAAATGTCCAGTTACAGTGGACGCATTTTCTGCAATTTAATTTTAAGAAGGATAATTACTTTTGGACAAAAAAATGGCTTTAGTTATGGTTAAGCTGAAAAAATTAGCTACACGGGGTTGGCAAATAAATGAATATTATTCTGATGCATATATGTGAACACATCTTACAGAAACGGATCAATAATTTTTCCCATAATATATCAGTTAGTTCGTCAAGTATTTGTTTTACAAAATTATAATAAGAGGATAGAGTGATATAAGGTTTAATAGAAAATATGATTTTATAGACAACTTGATATTTTTAAAAGCATGAATGTGTGTCAACAGAACATCGTCAAGTTTGTACTCATGTATGCAGGTGTAAAGACTTGTTGCTTGCAATCTTGGTCTCAGGTTACTTCAAGGTTTTTCTTATTTCAATGATGGTAATCTCCACTTATAAGAAACCTTTATTGGTTCTTTCATTTTAGTTGTTGTGCACTTCCTTTTCTTGTCTAATGTTCCTTGTTCATCATATCCCTTTTACTCTCTTGCGTGTTTCTGTAGGTCTGGGAATTTCCATCTTCTGTGATCCTCATTAATGATTTATTTGTCTTATCATCTAATGTAGTAGCACTGAAAGGTTAGTCACTATGCTTCCCCTTCCTTTTAGAAATATGCAATGTTAACTTATTTAAAATGCACTCCCAAAATATAAGACCGTCCCTTTAGAAGTAATTTCATAGAATTATGCACAAAAAAGGAGCAAGCAGTCTGCCACTTTTATATCATGAGGAAAATTAGGGTGAATATTTTTTCCATCTTGGAGCTTATGGGTTAAACCATCACTTAATAATTTGGCGTTGACAGTTTAGTGCATGTGGTATTTCTTCATTCCGAAACCCCCCCCCCCAAAAAAAAAACTTATTTCCAAAGGGAACCTTTTACAATGAGAAGACTTGTTGGAGATCAAGTTCGGCATAAGATAGTTACAGTGCTGAACTGGATAAGCTGATGGATGATTAAGTGGTAAGTAGATTATGCCCATTGTCCTCAAGGTGTTTTATCTATCATGAAGCCAGTCAACTTATAGTGGTCAATGGCTGGTGAGCACGTTATGTAGCATTATTATACCCTGACGTATATAAATTATAAACAATTTTATATTTCTTACTTCGATCTCAGTGTTTTCCTCAATGGTTAAAGCAACATCTCCCTAGCTGCATCTAATTTTTTTTTTTTTTTGTAAATTATAAATAGTGTAATTATGAGACCATGCTGTTAAATATTCTGATGAACATATCTGTTGGCAACCAGTGATGACAGAGTCAACTATCAATCGATGCATTGGGGTCTGCATCAGTGCCCATGCTGTAAAAGTATTTGTCACTCACTTAGCTCAGCTCAGATTGTTCTGGCATTAATAAAATGCAGGCTCAACGGCCCTCCTTATTGCCTTTGAAAGCCAGCATGATGTTGTTCTTTGTATTGTCGTGCAAATGTATTGGCAGTATAATTCAGCTCCTTGACAGCTTTATATTCCTGTAAATGATACTCATACGTGGACACATCAGGGACATTCTGCTGTAGGCTCAGCTTGCATAGATTTAGAGTCCAATATTGAAGCTGTTTTTTTTTTTTTCCCTGTTGGTTTTTATTAATTTGTGAATGAAGTTTCTAAATGATGTAATACGTTGAGCCTACAAATGAAAGACCTGGCTTGTCAAAGTTTTTGTAACTAGGTTTTTTTTTCCTCCTGCAATGTACGGAATCTAGTAGATGAGCTGGTCACTGTTCTAAAGCAGAGTGAAAAGTGATGACTTGCACAATGTTTTATATATTTATTATTTATTGATTATTGATTGAAGATGGATAATTTTGTACTGTTTATAGACTAAATTGAGAGATCAATACTGGTGCCTTATTTTCATTCACTCTTGATGAAATGATGCGTAACGTGTTTGTGTTACAATGCTAAGTAATTGAGTAGATATTCTGCATACCATTTATTCACTTAAGTTACATGGAAATGGTGGTGAGCGGTTATACTTCCAACATAATGGTGGTTTTGGGGCGATTTGCATGTTAATCTTAAGGACATTTTAAATTAAATGCCTGCCCCCCTGTGCTAATATGTGTGTTATGTATGCAAATTTATATGGAAACTAATCCATCAGTCACTTCCTCTAATTCTAAGTGATGTTCTTCACCAACATCACTTCAACTCCTCAAATTTTGGATGAACGGATTGAAAGACAGGAGAATATTGACCTGTTGGCTAATCACTCAGTATGACTTTGTCATCCTTCGAAGTGTCTAATGGAAAAAAGCTAGGGAGAATGACAAGTAAGGACCCCTTTAAGAACATTAATGTTAAAAATTTTTAACAGTAACATTTTTAAATTCAGTACTCATTTTTCCATGTTACAATATTAAAATTTTTAAATTGATATTAATATTTTTAGAAAGTCTTTACTTGTTTTTCTCCCAAGAAGCTATGAATGATAGCCGGCAATTCTATTTGGGTTGCTACAATTCAAGACAACCTTATGGTACACGTGGATGGTCTGATACATCTCTAATCATGGCATTCCTCCCAAGCCCTTAGCAGTGAATTTCATCTAACAAAAGTTTATCATTAAAGGATCCTTTTGGTATATGAAGAATAACATTCTCCATGGATGTTGTATCCCTACTTTGTTTCTTCACCTATTTTGATGCCTGAACTTTCAATGTTGCACGATAATTGTAGTCTTTTCTTGCTTTTAACTTTTTTCCTTAAATTTTAAACAACTAATTTGTACTATAAAATTTTACTCTTAATTCATGTTTGATTGTAATAAAAAAATGCATATAATTGATTAACTATAACCAATAAAAATTAGTCCGGCTGGTAAAATTTAGCTATAATCCACAATACATTGTCATCAAATCTCATTGTTGATGTGAAAGCTTTATGAGGGGGTTGATCTGTAATTTTTTTTTTTTTTTTTTATAATTTGAAGACAAGCTATGGCTTGGTTGTGTTGGTGGGTGTGTAATACCCAAGTGAGGTAAAATAATTTTGGAGTACGAGTCACTCACCACGTATGGGGTGGTGGCGCAGTTGGTTAGCGCGTAGGTCTCATAGCTGTGTTGAGTGATCCTGAGGTCGAGAGTTCGAGCCTCTCTCACCCCATCAATCCATTTTAGCTTGAGGCCAGTTTTCATTTTTCCGGGTGTCGTGCCGTCGAGCAAAACGTGAAAAATTCCTTGCTAAACGCATTTTTGTGGAGTTGATGCAACTTTATTTATTTATTTGTGAAATCATCAGCATATTGAAATTTTAAATTTGTGTCAACAGACAGACACGTGCCCAAGGCTTGATACTTACGCTCAATTGTTTTATTGAAAATGAAATACGTACACAATGAAAGAAAAAAAATGACATAATCAAAATTTAGCGGATAAAAAGAATCCATTTTGATTAGGTTTTAATCCCAAAAAACGATTGACTTGAGTACTTGACATATGCAGCAAACTGTGAACAGCTTCACAACTTCTCTAGTAAACGTCAGCCCAGCAAAAATGCTGATAGGCTGCTTATTTGTTTCAACACTGCTCTCAACTCTCAAGAAAATTATAAAATGTTCGCTACATACTTAGAGGTTATTTGTGATGCCCATAATTTAGCAAGAAAAGCTCAAACTTATGATTCAGTGTATTTTAAATGGATAAAATTATGGAGAATGAGTTTTAAGAGTTTTGAGCTTTAACCGAATGAAACATATGAGGATTGAATAATTACATAGACTAAATTGTAATTGAGTTAAAATTATGAAAATTAAATGATCAATTTTTTTCCTTCTGTAAAAACTCAAAATGTTCACGTCCCTGGAAGAGTCAACAAAACAAAATTAGTCATATCATAGTATTTCAATCACACAGGACATCACATGGCATTGCAAAAATAAAGGCAGATAAACTGTACCATTTTTAGTCCATAAGAAAGTTACAGTGAGCTTTCTCATTCAATTAATGAGTGATATCTCAAGCACATCAGTATCTCAGTTTTATTCTACTCTCGTCAAGGAAGAAGGCCTACCGAGCTGCCAGAAAAGGAAACTGCAAATCTATTCAGGTGCCAATGACATTGTTATGTCCCGAAGGTCAAAATTCCAGCGATATCGAGTATCAGGACACCAAAAATGTCATTGGGACCAAGAACACTCGACGTCGTATTTCTCAAGGCCGGTAAACGTGATCGCAAAGGGTGCTGAAATCACGAGGTTGGAAGAAAACACATCATCGTCCAAAATTTCAAACGCCATAGAAAGATGTGATAAAAAGTCATCGTTGATTCCATAATTGAATCTGCTAGGCTTGTTGACGTTGTCGAGCAACATCTACACTACAAAAATATCTAGCAAAGTAGGGCAGAATAGGATCATGGAAAGGAAAAGGATAAAGAAGCGGCTGAAAGTGGAAGTGTTCTCCTAAATATATGGTGAGTTCACCAAACGGCACCCATAAATTAGAGTTTCGATATTCCTTTTTTAAAACTATAGGACCAACAATGTTGGGACCACAAGCCCATCACCTTGTTAAACAAAAAGCCCACGACTCAAATCAGCCCATCATAGTTTTTGGGCCACAAAAAAACCCGCAAATCAAAGTTGTGGGAAAACAGTTAAGGAAAGAAGATTTAAAAAAAATTATATTAAAATGATATTAATAACGTAAAAATGATGGAAAAGAATTTCTCCGCCATTATAGTTAACCAAGATTTTTTATTTTTTTGCCAAAATTTAATTGTTCGTTTGATTGAATTGAAAATATTTTGGGCGAAAATAATTTTATTTAGATCTTGAAAAAATTATCAACGAAAGCATTTTACAAGCCATCAAACTTGATATGTGTGGCTGTTTTTGCAATTTGTTAGCGATCCATATCCTTTAAAGTAAGCTAAGCTCCCTCCAAAATACCACTGATTACACTTGCTCAAATTAGATTAATGGTAATTATGAATAAATTTTGAAGTAAGGTAAGTTAAGCTCCGAAAATGTATCTCAATAGCGTTGTATATATAAAGGGTAAAGGCAGCAACCTATCCTCAAAATTTTTTGGCACAATTTCACCGTAATGTTTTTCATTTTAGTACAGTCTTTCCCTATCGTTAAAGTTTGGCCAAATTGACCATTAAGTTAAAAAAAATTGACCATTAACTGCTTTGATAGCATGCCACATTGGCCTCACGTGTACCCTCCTTTGCCACCTCACTCCTTTCTTCCAAACCCAGATCCTCTTTGTGAACCCCAAACCCAGATTCTATGGCACTTACACATATCTCTGGGTTATAATCAAATTTAAAGAAAGAAATCATTTTTCCTTCTTGTTTCAATCCTATCTTGTTGCCTCATTGAGTGAAATTCACACTTACTATATACTCATTCTGAAGAATGAGCTGAATGCATCTCCTAGCACCTACCACGCTCAATCAAGCATTTATTATAGACAAAACAGAACTTAAACACCGAAACTGTGAAGATGGGGCAAGTATGGAACTCAAGTTCGAATAAACATTCAATTAAAAACCAATAGAATCAGTGACTTGATGAGCCCTATCTTTTGAACCACATCTGCAATGAGAAACAGGGGAGTCTCGTAGATTAGGGAAAGACGAAATGTGAGACTGAATTAAGAAGGAATGCGAGATAGGGATGTGTAGATTGAGAGAGACGACACTCAGGAGAGACGAACAAACACATTCACGACTAAATATTGGAAGGTGGAAGTAGAGATTAGGTTTCGCTCTAGGCCGTCGCAAGTCTCATCGTTGCCATGACTCTTTCTTCTTCGACTCAAAACCTAAGCCCAGGAGGAGTCCGATCATGGTCTCTCATTGTCGGCACCGAAGAATAAGGAAGCACTGTCGTTCTCATCGTCAACGCTGAAGAAGAAGGCGAAACTCTTGTTCTCGTCATCCACGCAATGATGGAGCTAGATCCTTTTGTTCTTCAATCTAGATCCAGATCCGCTCTTGTGCACCTGTTTCTGTAGAGAAATAAGAAAAAATATTGTTTTTCTATTGATATTAGTTGTGATATGGATTAGTTAATCTGGTAGTTAGTTAGTTTCATTCTTGACTTATCTAGGTAATTTCATTCTTGGCTTATCCTGGGTTATAAATAACTTCTGCCCCTTTTTTGTATCAGTGCGCATTGATGTAAAACCCATTGGGTCAAGCATAAGAGTATTATCCAATAAAACATTTTTTTCATGGTACAAGAGCCTTAGCTCATGATCCGACCTGTTTTCTAGTCTGCCCAACCCAACTTTCATTTGTCTTCTTCGACTGAACTCTAGTCATCTTCCTTTTTCGTGATTCTTTATTCCCCTCACGACACAGCATCTTTTCCTTCCTCGCACATGCGAACGCATTAGATTCACCGTCTGCCTTCAATTTTTCAGCCAACAATGGAGTCGCCAAATCAAGAAAATCCAAAAGGCATGTCTAGCAGCAGCGTCCACACCACTCTTGACCTTAGCCACCCTTGTATCTCCATCCCTCTGAGACACAGGTGACTTCGCTTGTGACTCAGCCTCTAATTGGAGCTACAAATTACGCCATATGGAGCCGTGCCATCAAGATGGCTCTTCGGGCAAGAAACAAGATAGGTATTGTTGATGGGTCCTGCAGACGAGAAGCCCAAGATTTGAGTCTTCGTGGACAATGGGATCGTTGCAACGCTGTAGTACTCTCATGGTCGATTAACTCTGTCTCAAAGGAGATTTCAGCCAGCATTACCTTCTCAGAGAGCGCAAATCTCGTATAGGAAGATCTTAAAGAATGCTTTAGCGTCACCGATGGATCCAAAATTTATAGTCTGCATCGTC